TCTGAAACGTTGGTAAACATCTACCAGACTACACAGCGCAACAACCCAGAAGACAGAAATCTTCATACTCTGATGACGGAGGCAGTATGACCTCTGAAACGTTGGTAAACATCTACCAGACTACACAGCGCAACAACCCAGAAGACAGAAATCTTCATACTCTGATGACGGAGGCAGTATGACCTCTGAAACGTTGGTAAACATCTACCAGACTACACAGCGCAACAACCCAGAAGACAGAAATCTTCATACTCACCGCTCTGAAAATCTCAAATCCTACATGAACACACTTGTTCTCAGTATTTACTTTTAGACCTCCTTCCTTACTAGCATCTAAATAGACCTTCTGTATTCTTCTTTATGATATTATGTCTTCACTCAGTGAATTAACATTGTCATCTGAGTGATGAAGTTTTTTAATTCTGGCAAACTTAGTTATGAATGATCTTTGCATAGTGATTTCTTTTCTTACAAAAGAATTTTTAGGTGGTGTTTTGTGCAAGCATGAGCATAGAACACCTTATGGGCCCGTCCATGTGTCAGCCACATTTTCCTACTAGGCAAGCTGCATGACAAGGAGTCATTTTTGTGCAACATGAGGAAGAGGTCATTGTTGGAACACTTGCGACAAATGTCTACGTGGTGTGGTGAAAAGAACACTTGAATATTAGTCTTGTTTTTCTTGATACTGTTTCCTTCTGAACTATGGTAATAGTAGATAGGGTTTTATTAATGATTCTAGTTACAGTGGCTTCAGCAGATCATAGTTTCCAGAACTTAAAAAATTAGTAGCTTTCTCGGGACAGTAACTTTCCCTGAGAGCTTGAGCGACTTGACTCTGCTTCTGTTCACAGAAAAGTGTCCTGAAATTTGGATTAGAAAAACCTGATGGCAGAGTTCTTGCAATGAAACAAAGGAATGTAGACAGTGTAATAACAGTACTTTTTGTATTAAATTGACTTTATGTATTAATATAGTACTTTGCCACTGGCTTCGGACTATAGACATGAGTCCAGTCCTGGGTGACATTGAGTGATTTTTGTGGTTGACAAACTGGCACTGGAAGGGGTTTCTGCAGTTCTTCAGCTTTCCCCTGCTAATCTTCTCTCCACCATTGCTCCATTCATATTTATTGCTGCCCCACAAAGTGTGCAGTCACACTAACCAAGCAGCACATTGTACTCATAATACCCCCAGTCCTCACCTAGGGGATTTGAGGTTTTCACGGTGGTGAGTCTGAAGATGGCTGTCTTCTGGGTTGTTGTGCTGTGTTGTCTGGTATATGTACACCAACTTTTCAGAGGTCCTTGCTGCCTCCATCATTGGACCTCTGAAACATAAGTAAATTTCTACCAGACTATACGGTGCAGCAACCCAGAGGACAGCCATCTTCTTCCTCTGAACTAGGGGCTTCACCTCTGACCTAGTACTTGCCTGGTCTCAGAATAAACATAATTTGGTTTTTTATGGAATAAAACCACTGAGTTTTCTGTAAGTTTATTTTATTACAATATCTCTAGTGTATCTGAAGACCTCAGACACAATTATTCATCCTTGTTAATAACCTAAACATCTCCATATTTGACATTAGATCACAAAAGTCCATTCAGAAGCTTTGGAAGTCCACATTTATTTCAAGAAACAGTAGACCTTAGAAGTATGGAACCATGTAGTAAATTTTTAACCAGATAGTTTAAATTAAATTTGAGGTTCTCATAGCATTGAAAATACTATTTGTACACGCCTGGGTTCTGAAACTATATGTAGTCTTGTAGATGATTAACATTTTGGAGGAACATTTGTAACCACCTGCAAGAACCCAGGGTGTTGACAATGCAGAAGACCATAGCTGACATGCTAGTCTAAACTATTTTTGTATGTACATTGCACTATAATTGTATTTATTTTTAATTAGTTAGTCATAATAAGGTAATGCTTCTGTAGTAATAGCTAACAGAACTTGTGGCAGTTGTAGGAGAGTGGTTTGTGACTGAATGTATAATATAGAGAATTGAAAATTGTTTATGTATTATACTATTAGTAATTTTTATACAGTTTTAATTATATTTATAAAATATTACCAAAAAAATGTTTTTTATGGATTTGATTCTTGAAATTACTAAAATAATTAGAGGAAAAGCCATCCTTTAAAACATGGTTTTTTGAAAGCAATTAAAAATTTAAACAGATGATGGCTGAAGTCAAAGATAAAAGAGTAATTTACCACCATCACCAAAGGCATTCTGAGGATGAAAGTCTTTTGTGTAGGCTTTGACCAGACTGTTTAATTTTTATAGGCCTATAAAAACATATAATAAGTTAAATCTTAATTTGGTATTGTTACTCTACAGACATTTGAAACTTTTGATAATTGTACATTATCTTACAATATCTTCATAACAGACTCAGTAAAATAATATTGACTGGCTGCAGTTAAGTTTTGTTTATTATTGCCAAGTTACTAGTGTTTAATGAACGTGTTGAAGCAAGGTTTACTTTTGCATATTTTACAAGTTTCAGCATATTAATATTATTATTGAGCAGAACTATCAGAAATACATATTTGCTTATTTAATTTAAGTGCTAATAAGAGTATTTCTCCATGATATAAATTTTAATATTGAAATGTCTGTTTTTACCCAAGCAGAATGTCCACATGAAACTGGAACTTGCCCTCGATGAGGATAGCATATTCTACAAACTTGGAAGTTCAGGCCTTATCACATTCTCTGATTACATCTTCCTGCTCACTGTTCTGTCAAGTAAGTTGTACATTCACTTTTCTTTTGCATGAAGGTTTAAGTTTTATAATCAGTATGAGTGCCAACTCAAGGCAGAGGAATCAAATGTTCCTCCTATCAACTTGCATTGTCCCATAATACGTAAATTTTCTTCATGGCTGAGTCGTGTATAAAACTGGCAGTTTTGTCGTAAGTCAGTGGCTTCCTACCTTTACTTCCCATAATACGTAAATTTTCTTCATGGATGAGTCGTGTATAAAATTGGCAGTTTTGTCATAAGTCAGTGGCTTCCTACCTTTACTCCCAACCCTGCTTTTGTGTACAGAATGATTTGATGTCTCCCTGCTTTTGTGTACAGAATGATTTGACGTCTTGAACAGTCTGTCATTCAGGTTTACAGTGTAATTTCAGAAATTGGAATAGTATTGAGATAGGAGTGGTTGATGTTTATCTCAGAAGGAATTTCTGTTCCCCGCACTTCATGGTATGTGGTATGTTCTGCTGCTCACATGTCTGATCAGTTTTGAAAATCGCCATATTTCATCAGATCATAGAACACATACTTTGGGTCTTTTTTTAAGTAATCACATTAGACTGAGGAGCAAGAAACAGTACTGATTGAAAAATATGGAAAAGTATTGTTTGAGTCATGTTTAATAGAAATTGTCCAGTAGTTTGTGATGGCAGGAGCAGTATGGGTGAATACCGAGACTGAAAACATGTTATGAATATTAACTGAAGCTTAATTGGATGTTACAAGATGACTTTATGACTTGCGTCTGGCATAAGAAACTCACATTGCAGTTTGGAAGCTTTTGACTGATGTTTGCATGGTGTGGTGTGGGAACACCACATAATGCAAGGAAGTAGGAACAAGTTCAGCATGGTTCATTACATGCTGAATGCCAAGAGGAAATGCAAATGTCAGTAATCAACTGGTAAAGTGAGCAAGCATGCTGTCAACAGTGTAAGTTTTTTTCTACATCATTTGTTGGCAGTGGATTTCATCAACTGTTCCTTATGAAGGCTGATCCGTTCTGCTGCATGTTTTCTTATGTCTGTGTGATTCACTTGTGGAAATTGAACCAAATCATAGTATAGTAGTTTTTGGCCGGTGGAATTTTCAAGGGGAAGGCTAGGAGCGAGTCACTTGTCCGATGGTATAATTATTACTGAGCATTCTCATTTCCTGTACAAAAAGAAATTGCATGTATAAAGCTGACATTTTAGTGGGACATTGGGGCAAGAGGTGTGCACCGGGTATTGGTTGGGAAGCCCGAGGGGAAGAGACTGCTGGGGAGACCTAGACGTAGATAGAAGGATAATCTCAGGTGGGATGTATGGCAGATAGGAGTTGAAGGAGAATGGATTTTGTTGGCCCAGGACAGGGTCCGGTGGAGGGCATTGGTGAATTCGGTGATGAACCTTCGGGTTCTGTAAGCCATCTAGTTAGTCTAGTTGTGTAAAAATGTCTCTAACAGAAATGTTGGGACCAAGATGTATTCCTGTTTTTGTCTTCATCACATCAGCACACTCGTGTGTTAGAGATTTATTCAAAACACACAGTCTCTGTTTCCTCCATCTTCTGTGTTTAATTTTTTCAAAATCATCATAACATTAGTCTTCACCTGACAGCAAGAGTGTAAGAAGAAATTCAGAAAGAAGTTATTTATCCTCTTTCTATGATGATATGGAAGATAGATAGAAGTAGTTATATTCAGTGGAATAGTTAAACACTTCACTGTCAAAGGAAAACTTATATTTTGTAGATTTCACATAAATAATAAATTCAGATATTTTTGGCTGTTACTTTATTTTTTTTATAATAAACACATATACAGCATGGTATATACATATAAAATATTAGTGCATTTAAATACATTTCAGCAAGATATAGATAGTATAAAATGGCACATTAAACATTGTATTGATAATTTCTCCAGAGATTCATCTCCACATTAGTTCCACATACCAAAATGTATATGAAGAGACAAGATTTGTTATACTTTTGACATTCAATTAGGTTCCTGACAAGTAATCACATTTCAGATGAACATAGAGAAATGTTTCAATAGTACAAATTTCTCAAATATACTGGAACACTGATCATTGATTATTGGGGCATCTGCTTTCAAGAAATGCTAAATACACCTAATAAATTTTATGCCTTATCATATCATTCGTTACTACACTTCCAGTGCTTTGTTGCAAACATGCCAAAATTGTAGTGTTTTACAGCCGTTAATCACATTTATTAGAAGCAGGCTTTGAAATTGAACCACCAACATGTACCGCAACATGTTCCTCTTGAGCCATGGGTTTCTGTTACCAAGATTAGATCAGTGTAATTATCTTCCTCATATATTTCATAATTATCTGCACTGAGGAATTGCATATTTATTGCTACATGACATTCTTGCATTGTTGAGAATTTGAAATTGGTTGCTTTCACTCATATGGTAACGTTAGTCCCAGCTCAAAAGAAATGTAGCTGCTGTCTGTGATAGAAATAGTGATTTATGCTAATCTAATGACCTACTGAAACAAGGAACCTCTTTACATAATTATTATATATTTTTGGAGCTTGTGAATTGATTCTAGTCCTGATGCTTCATGCCCATGGTTCTCATTCGTTGAGTTTCACTACATAATTAGTGGACAGCTCTTGATAGTGTTTTAACTTCTACTTGCTACTGTATTCCAATTTGAGCATATAATATGAACAGTAAAAATGTTTAACTTCACTTTATATGTTAGTACATTAAAGACTTCACACATTTGTCTAAATAGTTATCGTTTTAAAATAAAAGGACAGAACTTTATTAAGCTTTGCATTGGCCATGAATGCACCGTGTGGAAAAAGAGAATATATGGTGATTGTCAAAAATATTAAAATGAGCCATCAAAATATCACACTGAGAATTTTATAAAAAAATTGTTTTTAAAGCTTGTATATACAAAACACTGCGAGTGTGTGAAAAGTAACACCTATATAGTATTTGTAAAAATCTGTACATCTGTAAGTATCAGAATGGCAGCTGCTTCTGAATATTAAAAATTGTTAATATGGGCAGTGGATTGACTGAACCCAGAGTCCCATATTTTATATTTAAAAAGGCATTTAGGAATGCTACAGTTGTGATATATTTAATTTTATATATGTACATATTATTGAAATTAGACAGTTATATTGGCAATGGAATATTTGTGCAGCATTCTGTCAGAAACTATTTACAGATGGATTAATGAGTGAGAAGATAATGGCACAGGATGATAACATGTTGCAAGTGTCAAGTTTTTAGCATCATTTACAGCTCTCAGTAACAGTCAAGTTATTTTCTCATTGACATTCTTAATTTCTGGGAGACATTCAGTGACAAGTTCATTTGATAGTTGATGACCATTGTCTTAGAAGAGGCAATATTTTAGTGTGTGATTTTCAAACTTCTCCAGTTCATTCCAGTCTCCAGATTTTTGTCTGCTCATGTTAATAATAATTTTACAAATTGTGAGTTCCTTAGCCAGTATTTTCTGTGATAAATGCTTACGTTTTGAAGTATTTGATGGTTTTGAACAAAAATTTCTGTTAAAATTTGGTAAGAAAATTTGTTGTTCAGAATAGTTTTCATTTGAGATGAATAGGCAGGATAATAAATATATTGTGTTAGTGGACTGAACAGTTTTGATTATCCAGATGTTTGGGTAAGGAAATCACTTGACTGATATAGAATTTCTGTTATGATTAAAATCTCTCAAAAGGAAATAACTAAAATATGTAAGATAAACCAAGAAGCTAAATATTGCACTTAAACATAATATTGCCATATTTCATTTCTTCGTGATAAATTCCATTTTTGGTACCATATTTATAGTCTATATAGGCCTCAGGTAGAAATTTTTAATTGTTCTATGTTCGTTATTTCTGAGTTAAATGGAGCGTTCATATTTTGGCAGTTTCTGTGTTAAAATTATTATGGTATACAATTTCTTAAGCCCTGCATGTTCCAAGAATTATACTTAGTTCTTTAAGTTATAATGTGGTATTTTGTACTAACTCTTTTCAGAACCAGACAGGCTTGTGCAAAGTATCAGGTTAAGCAAATATCTGAGTGTTAAAACATTACAGACAGAAAATAAGTAGGTACCACTTGCTTGCTCCTGTACCTTTAAAAGACCAGTTATACAACAGTTTTGAGATTCTTAATGGAATGCAGTTTGTAACATTAAGTTTGTTACTCTGGATAGACAAACAGATGTATCACCTGCAGTTAAAATAATGTGAACCATGCTTATTTGTATGGTTTTAACTAAGAATTACAACACATTTTAGAAGCATTCCCTTTGAGAGATCTTGTCAGTAATTTAGGAATATTATCTTGATTTAGTAGGATTTAAGGTTTTTATGGTGATGAGTCATCTTATTTTGATTTAATTCTATACAAATATCAAATGCTATGAGGGATGTGCAAGAACTTGAGAATAAATTAGTGTTTTCCAAAATACTATCATGTATACAGAAGTAATACAGGCTCAGATAATAGTACATACATCCTTGTACAAGTCAGAGTAGCTGTCACGAAAGTGTCTGACTTTGGACTGGACGACTGCAGTTTGATTCTCAACAGGGGCAAAGAATTGTTCTTCTAACCTTTTCACCCAGACTGACTGTGGGGCCCACCTAGCCTTATATTCAGTGGGTATGGGGGTCCTTTCCCCAGGGGTAAATCATGGCCAGGGTGTGACACTGATCACTCACTCCCATCTAGTGCCAAGATGAAGAACAAGTAGAAGCTATACCTCCTCTCCATTCAGGTGCCCCAGTAACATGTAGTGGGACAGTTCTACTTTTCTTACAGTCTTATACACATAGCATTTGCTGTTCCATGTTATATAAATTTCTTTAAAGAGTTTATCATTCCTATTTATAGTACGTCAGAATCCAAATTGAACACATTAATCACATGGCAATATCTAAATTTTATTGGAATAACTTTACAGAAAGTATTCTTCATTTTATAATGTTTGTGCCGTGCTTCAGTAGTTTTAGAAAATTATATAATTGGAGGAGAAAAGGGAACAAGAGGAATAATTGTGAATAGTTTCGAACTCTGGAAAAATCTGGAACTAGTAAAGAGAAGTCCTGATTATCTGTACGCATGACTTTTCTTTTTTATATATATATAAATTTGGACACATGTGAACTAGGCTTTTGACATCTTTCCACTCTGTGTTGTCTGCTTCAAGGGGGAGGGGTGTCTACAGAATATATGGTTGAACAATACCTATTTTCTTCAGTGGCCTTCAATCAGTATCGGTTGTGGGGCGGGAAGGTTTATTCCAGTTGTGGCAATGATGTGGGACAATTCTACAGCTGCTTGGTGTTTTCCAAACATTAATGTCTTACAGTTTATTCCACAACATTGTACTGTGCATCATTTACGTGAAAGTGATAGTTAATACTTGTGGATCCTAGGTAAAATGACTGAAAACTCTAATAAAATTTGACTGACAATAAAGTAAAATCTTGAGTTAATTGAAAAATTAGGGAACAGACAATTGGTAACAAATGAGATTACTTAATTATTAATCATTGAAAATCACTAACTGAACAGATTTAAAACTACAGTTATGGAGCTGGAAAAGTAAATTTAGGCACACAGAATAGAAATATGAATTATCATAGTTGTTTTTTTTTCAACCAACACACATTTCTTGAGTGAACTGTTACTTATAAGTAGAATGCTGATTGTAGGTGACTTCTGTCAAAATTTGTTTGCATATCTGAAAAATCAGCATTTGAACACCTACTTAAATGCACCCTAACATATATACTGTAAGTATGCAGTAATTAAATTTACTGAATTGAAATGGCGATGCAGTGCTGAAAGTTCTCTTGTTTTTCAAGGTATTAAATATCAGTGTGCTGTTTATGATCTTATCTGCTTATATCTATTAAGCTTACAGCTCCTCAGAAGGAAATGGATATTTTTCACATTTCAATGTGTTAATTATAATTGCACATCTTATTGACAAGTTAAAACATGAATATTTAATATTGTTGATGTTGCTTGTGTCTCTGTACTTGGTATTCACAACTGACTCAACACAGAAATTATTTATTCTAAATATGCACATATAATTGCTTCTGTTTTATGCATTGCATTGTGGAAATTTATATCTATGAATATCCACAGCTCTCAGAACTGTCAGAATTCACTTCCTTTTGCAGATAACTAAACTCGCCCATTTTTTTAGATTTATGTTTAATGTATATAGTATACAAAATATTTTTTACATGCGGACTAATTTTCATATACTTTAGCAGCAGATTTATGAGTTTTAACACCTTTAATGTAGATGTGCTTTTCTTTTATGTTTTGAGTGTAATCCTATTAACTAAATACCATTTCTGTTTACTTTCATATATAATGAGCATATTCTTAAATGTTGATCCCAGTATCTGAGCTGCTGTAATTTGTAGTACGTCAAGTAAAAATATAGGACACTAACATGTACAAAAATTACATTACACAATCTCACTTTTGGAATGTATTGTCCACAACAAATGTTGATAGACCTACAATTTCTCTGATTTTCTTTAGTTATTCTGAATATTGTGGTGTTTAAGTGGCATGGTTTTATCTTTTCTGCTTATACATCATATGATATATGTTGTAGGATAGAAAAATATGAATAATTTTGATATAATCAGGTACCAAATTCTTTTTTAGCAAAACAATCTTCCTACACTCATAGATACATCCATATCTGCATGCGCATGGATTTATGTATCTTCCTTAACTATTTCATAATATTTTGTGACATTATATCCAAACATTTCAAAATCGAGTCCATAAATATAATGCAATTTCTTCAGCTGCTTCTTTGACAGTTGACCATAGTATCTTCTTGTTAAATCGTTGGTGTTTTTGCCATCCCTTGCTTTATTCAGAATCATTTTAGGCCTGTCTTTGTGCCTTGATAGTTTAAGTATATTTTCAAGTCCAGCTCTTCTGATTATATATTCCTGATCACGGGTCAGAGTCTCAAGTTTTGCAATGACAGTAAAGTTAACTTGGCAAGGTGTACAGAATGAGTAATATGGAGCCCAGTGCTCATCAAATTTTGTCACTTTGTAAGATCCTGCTGTGTCTGTTATATAATTCACAAATTCAGAAAATGTAGGTCCTGTTGGAGTAGGATTTATAACATTGGGCGGTGAATTACTTTTCCGATATTTTGCAACTATTTCTCTGCCCATTTTGCGGTAGAAACGATGTGGGAGACCTTCAATCTTATTTCTGTATGCCGATAGCAGACGTTCAAATGGTTCGCGCACAATAAGGAAAGAAAGTGATTTAGGGAGCGCTTCTTGAAGTTGCTTTATGGTAGGCCTTGGGAAATTGGATCTGGCTAAAACAAGAGGATTTTTTTTGGACTGGCGTAGATACTTTTCTTTGTAGCCTCCTAGGAATGAAGAAAATAAGCAGAAATAATATGCATGTTTTGATTGGTATTTGTAATTACATAGTTGTACAAAAAGACATCTTTACACTGTAATGTGCAGTATAGAGTTCCCTTGTAATTTTATTGTCCCTTGGTTTTGATATTGTTATAAATTACAGGTGGCTGTTAAGTGGCTTTGTAAAGTACCTATTTACATTTTAACATGCACTTACAGTTATCAGCCATTCGCATGAAAGTATTGCTGTGGCTTAAAATGTTATAATTGAGGATTTGAGATTTTAATGGGGTGAGTTTGAAGATGGCTGTCTTCTGGGTTGTTGGGCCGTGTTGTCTGGTAAAAGTATACAAACGTTTCAGAGGTCTTTGCTGCCTCCATCATCAAGGCGACTTCTACCACAGTACATGGTTCATCAACCCAGAAGACAGCCGTCTTCTGTTATAATTTATATAAAAGTTTTGATTTGTTTGTATCACAAAGAAATTAGACGGTCTTGTGCATTTTTTATATGTAACAAAGCATAGAATGGATATTTTGTGAGATGTTGTTTTGGAGATTGAAAGGAAGGATAATATTAAAGTTGGTAGGAAGGGTGTGGGCTGGAATGGATTAATTTGGCTCGGGATAGGGACCACAGTGGTGGGCTCTTGTGTACACAGTTATGAAACTGTAGCTCTATAAAAGGTGAGGAGTTTCTTGAGTAGCTGACTGACTGTTAGTTTCTTGACAGGAACTCGGCTTCATGGAGCTTGTTGTGTTCATCTGTCCATTCTTCCACCCACAGATTTTCCCACTGTCTTACAATCACTGACATTCTCCATAAATTAAATTAATTGAATTTTACATTAGGAACTTAGGGTTGTCAGTTTTTCTAAGGTTAAGTAAGTTTTATGTTTATGATGTCTGTGTTGTGCATTAAGAAATTTGAAAAATTAACTAGCATATTTAAGGAATTCACTAAAGTATTTCTTAGAAATGTTGCAAAACATGTCTCAGACATATATAGTAGCTAATGCTACACACTGTGTGATTGCTTGTGATACATTTTGTATTTGATGCTTAAAATTAAAATGGAAGCCTGTAACATTTTCAAATCATTTTTATCAGTCACTTTATTTGAAAGGCTGAATTAATGTGTATGTGAGTATCATTAAATAGTCACCAAGCTGGAAATTTTTTGCACAAGATGTGGAGTTTAATACCAGCAGACTCTTGTTTTACGTCTCGCTTATTCTGCTGATGCATGTCTTGTGTAACATGATTTTTTTATATGTGTACACCAGCAGAAAATCATTTGAGATATGTGTCCATCACATACACATATTCATTTCTTAGAACAGTTGTTTACATGTGTCGCTACTACAAGATTATCTTGCTGGCATGATTTCTGAATGTTCGTCTTTCGGTAGGTCATGTTAGTAACCTGAACTGAAGTTCGATTAATTCAATTTGGAGTTTTTCAGGGGCCCCATCAGCATTAATGCCAATTGTAAGGGGGAAAAAATTATGTTCTTTTGGAATATATTTGGATGTTGCTAAACTTTTCTTAAACTCTTCAAGCAAATAAGTTATTTTGTTTGCTATTTTGCATGTTGCTTTCCAGAAACCTTTGATTTTTTAATGTCAGAAAATATATAACATTACATTTTCTTATTTCTGACATCCATAACCTTAGTATTGTATTGTGAACTTCTCACAAATGAAAAAAATGAACATTGTGGTTTTGTCTGAATTAACAGTTTCAAATTTAAATCTTTAATGAATTTGACACATACATGGCTTTTCAGGGACGCAATACTTGTGGAAAACAAGGGTCTGCTGTACTGTAAATAGTCATTGTTGCATACTGTTCTTAGTAATAATTAACTGCAGTGAGAAATGTCATATGATATGTTTTCTGGAGAGGCTGCTGTGCAGATACATCAGTTAGGGACTACTCCAAACCTTAAGAACACCTATATGATAGTTTTACTAATACATCTTTGTATTCTTGCTACTTTCAACCAACTTTTCTATTACCAGCAGTGATGATTTCCTTTCACCACTCGCTCACCAGAGCTACAACTCTTGGCAATGGAGAGCAGATGTTTGATTTTAAACTGTCCTACGTTAGATAATAGATTTGCATTTCATGAAGAATATTGTCACCTCAGCTAGAAACTGGCCTCTCAAGTTGTACATGGACAGTGAGAGATGTAACATTTTTCACTCAAAGCAAAATAATCTGCCTTAGGACATTTTTCTGTTTGTTTAATTTTGTCGCACTTCAAGACATTTCAGTTACTTACCCAGCAGATTGAAATTATATAGCCATGTGGAACTTGCAGCTTTAAATATGTTGCACCAAATTAGACTGTGTGTAGGATCTATGAAAAATTCCCATGCATTTGGCTTTCCCTCTGTGTTCAGGCCACGAGCAACGCATACTTCCCACACTCTGTGCCGTCTCCCTTCTAGTTCTGATTCTAAGTCTTCTAAATCGTATCCATCATCTTCTGGCTCATTGTTTACCAGTTGGATTACTTTGCCAGATTTAAAGGAAATGGTTGCTTTCTGGGTTTTAGAGCCAGTATTTTGCATTGCACCATTCTGCAATATGAAACAGTATGAAATAACATTTTGTTCGTTTAAATAAGTAATTCTAAATTTCGAAGTTTGTAAGGTCTGTGTGGAGTGGAATCTCAGGTAATTACAGTGATTTCCTATTGTGGAGAGTTTTGTCATAGAGATGATTACTATTATGCACTACATCTGTTCTGTCATACAGACAGAAAGGTTAGGTCTTGGCAAAATTTTGAACATCCTACATTCTGTATGTAAAAACTATTATAGAAACAAATATAAAATTGTGTTCCCTTATACTTTTAGTGGAATTTTATTTTGTTTGGTGCATAAGCCCAAGGAAGTTTTTGTTCTAATAATATTCTCTGTTGAGCACTTTTTTATTTGAGTTGCATACATCCCTATTTGAAGAAAATAACTTTTAAATGTATGGTTAGAAATATCAAGACTGAATTTGTAAAAACTAAGATATAATGTATACAAAGATGGAATGGTAACTCCCATCAGAGCATATGCACACTTTTTCCACTGCCCCTGCTAATGTCAGAAGCACCCAGACTGTTCTTTAATAATCTTAAAACTTGCTTCATTGTACTTTTTATATTTGTTTAAATTTGTCAGTCTAATCACAAAAGTTCCTATTAAATATTAAAATATTACTATAATTAACATTTAAATATTTAAAATATATTAAATGATGATCTCTATCGAAATGTTTGATTTACATTAGATCAAGTGTTGATCTAATGTAAAATATTTTAAATATTTAAATGTTAATTATAGTAATATTTTAATATTTAATAGGAACTTTTGTGATTAGACTGACAAATTTAAACAAATATATATTTATCACAAAATGATGCAACTTTATCATCTCATTGTACTTTGTTAATTCATTTCAACATTAAATCTTTTGCCATTCAGTTATTTTTTAAGTTCAGGTAATATGAAAAGTGACAGACAGTCATATCTGGCTAGTAGTAAGCTGTTTTACCTGCAGAATACTATATTTTGCTCAAAATTTCTTAACAAGCTTGTTCGAATAGGCAGGTGCATTGTCACGTGAATTTTCCATTCACCATTTCCCTACTTTTTGATCCATTTATTCACAAAACGCTGCACCATGGAGATGTCTCGATACTTGTGTCAATAAAAATTGTTGTTAATAGTCTAATTTTCAGGAGTATATTTAATGTGTAGTCTCATAAATCAAAGAAGCAGTCAACATCACTTTGTCTTAAAACCTTGCATACTATGCAAAGTGTAAACAGTTTTGTTTGTATGCATGATTTTATATATTTTATTTAAACATCACTTTGGTTTTGCTGTACACTTGGCATCCCCTTATCAGGTATAATGAGAAAGGAGATTTTTGTTGTATTAATTGGTATTTAGTTGTGGGGCAGTAACCATAGATCAGTGTTTTATCATTTGATTTTTTAAGAATTTTTCATAAGTTTCTATAAGTTAAGTCAGAAGCCATGGACAGGTGGTTTTCTTCTGCTCCTGCGTCAGTAGCTGTGAAACAGACATACTGCATTCCAAAACCTGATTAAATTTCATGACACGAGCCTTGAGAAATTCCTACCTCTACAGACATTACATAGTTTATTTTCTGTCATTTCACACTATGAGCCGGGATAGCTCAGTCAGTATAGTGACTAGCTACGGGCTGGACGGCCGGGGTTCGATCCCCAACGGGGGCAGAGGATTTTTCCTCTAGCCTCTGCGTCCAGACCGGCTCTGGGGCCCACCCAGCCTCCTCTACAATGGGTACCGGGGTCCTTTCCCGGGGGTAAAGCCGGCCGGGGCGTGATGCTGACCACTCACCCCCATCTAGTGCCGAGGTCAAGAAAGAGAGGAGCTATACCTCCACTCACCCCAAACGCCTACATGGCGTATAGTGGGACAAACTTTACTTTACTTTACTTTTACATTTCACACTAATTCTTGTACTAGTACTACCAATTCATTATTTCTACTGGTTGAAGGAATGACTCTCGCTTTCAGTGGATATTCATCCCACTTTAAAACAATGGAACCATTCAAAATTCATGTTTGCTCTCAGCTCATCATTGCATCTCCAAATGCAATCTGTTTGTACCCTCTTGTGTATATTATTTATGTGGAATAAAACATCATCACAACATGTAGATATACAAATGTGTCACTACATGTTTTGATCTTTGTGGTTATCATCGGTGGATCTGTACATACATAAAAGTAATTACCAAGTTACTATATGCATGTTTATATGACAACCTAATAGGACATTTTATTAGCTTTGAAATGAGCTGTGTATGTTAATCAGGGCAGAAGTTCCACAATCTTGTCTAAGACAACTTTTTTTCTCCCCCCCCCCCCCCCAAATGAAATGACTAATTTGGATGTCTGCTGTCAAAAATCCAGGTCCATAAAGCAGTAAAATTTTGCACAGTTACTTTCTCCATCGAGTCTCGAGTCTCACAAAAAATCATTCAATTCTGAGGAGGTCAGGTTGTGACCTGTGTTGATTTGACGTGACCTCTACACGTTATTCCACAGCACGAAAACTTCAGTTAAGTCTTCTTCTTCTTCATTATTTCAGAAAACAATACTCAATTTTAAATTCCTGTACAGGAAGATTAAGGTGGAAATATTGACAGTTCAGTTTTATGGGACTAGGTTATAGCTTTCTGTTCTTAAAACTCTATAGTTTAAGAATTACTTTTGGCGATTTGCAAACAACACACAGTCTTGGAATTTACTTATGAATCATGCAAATGATTTTTGGATACTGTACATATTTTTACCTGTGTGCTAGAGTTGGTGGTATTAATATTTCTAGATCTGGCTAATTGATGATGTCTTGAGTAAGCATAGCTGCCAAGCAGGATGCAATATCCAAATCCTGCAGACAGAAATACAAATGTGTGCAGGATGCTTCGATATTTTTTGCTCGCTCGCAGTAGTAGCCGTGGCCAAAAATAATAAATGCCTCTCATATCATCCTGGAAGTAAAAAGTACACAGATGTCTCTCATTATATATGAGGGTTGTCTTATTGAGAGTTGTTACGTACATCAAAAATGTGTAAAGTGGGAAAAATATAAATCCACGTGTAGTCCCCAGATTCAGAATTGTGGGTTAAGTCAATTAAAATTTTTGCCTGTGCCCAAGGATTGAATATGGTTGCTCTTCGTTATACTGAAATAAAATTGTGGATGTGTGAAAATATGGATAATAGAAGTGTATATGAGCGTCACCTTGTTTTACAAAAAAAAAATTACCTTTTTTCAGATATTGTAGATGCGTCATATTGTGATTTATTTAAATAGTATTAAAAATATATTAAAATTAGCCGTCAATCACAATATAATATTATTAAAAGATTAAAATATCATTTTACGTTCCCTATCGAGTACTCGATTTACATGTGGAACATACACGACATGTTTCGGCTATATATAGCCATCATCAGGTGTTATGTATTTAAACTTTTCACTTAATTACTGATTTTTAATGATTTTTAGTCTTCATTTTTCTTATCAGTAATTCAGTGATAAGTTTAAATACATAACACCTGATGATGGCTATATATAGCCGAAACATGTCGTGTATGTTCCACATGTAAATCGAGTACTCGATAGGGAACGTAAAATGATATTTTAATCTTTTAATTATATTATATTGTGATTGACGGCTAATTTTAATATATTTTAATACCTTTTTTTCAGTTGAAGTATTGGGATGTAGTGAAATAAGTTGCTATATAACAAATTTTGTAAAGTTTAGATTCAAAGCAGCACTTTACATATTTAACCCAATCATTTTGACAATTAAAACAAGCTGTTCTGTGCAGAACTCAAAAATTCTACTTTCATAAATCAGACTTCCAATACTACAAGACTTTTTCTTTTCTTTTCTTTTCTTCTTTCTTAACATTTAGGTAATGTAAGTTATTAGTCCGTCAAGATTTGAAATGTGTAATAAATGTTTCTTGTCAGTTCTAGTGAGAAAAACAAATCTCATTTTAAGATTATACAAATTTTGTAAATAGTCTTGTAACTCAGAACAATATTTTTCCAACTGAGGTTTGAATTTATAACTTTATGCAGTTCAGAATTCAAGTACAGTGTATCGTAAGGTTACTGGCAAGATTTACGGATACTCTAAACTCTGGCCTTACGTATTCATGTTCAGAACTGAGGTTCTATATAAATTTATACACAAAAATTTCATAGCTCTGCAGCTATATGCAAAAGCAGAATTCGGAGTTAATGAATGGTTAAGCATTTTCTAAGGGGTTAACAGGACGTGTTTTCTGTTATCAGGTAACTTTTTCAAGCAGTCAGGGTGACATACATTACAAAACTTGTGGGGCCAATGTCGACTATGCAGAATTTATCAACAGGCAGCAGATGAGAACAGCTGTTGGTTATTTAACGATGCTTTCTCAGTAGCTCAGTCCGTATAGAGAGAGTATGATAGTGAATAGTGAATTGGAAGGGATGTGGAAGGAAGCGGTCATGGCCTAATTTAATGTACTGTCAGTATAGCCAGTCTCTTGGTCAAGATTTGATCCCAGATATGAAGCAGGAGTGCTAACCACTCGTCCATGACGTTCGGTGCTGGTGTATAGGGAATGTTAGGATGATTAATGAATTTGAAAGGATATGGAAGGAATCAGTCATTCAAAAGAAAGAAAGAAAAACAACAACAACAACACAATTCAATAAAATATCTCTAATCCACGAACTGTGGTAAACAATAAGACATATTTCATTATGTGAATTAGTGACTGAAGGTTTTCATGGCTCTACTCAGTCCCTCCAAGTAAATATGGGGATAGCAACTAAAATTAGACAATGACTGATTCTCAAATCTAAAACTTCTTGACGATGGTGAAGAGTCAATTGAATAAAAATTTCCTTGGATATTATCCATCGTCTAGTAAATATAAAACGTAAAACGACGTTTCGGAGATGGGAACCTGAAGACGGAGATAGAGTCCCATCTCCGAAACGTCGTTTTACGTTTTATATTTACTAGACGATGGATAATATCCAAGGAAATTTTTATTCAATTGACTCTTCACCATCGTCAAGAAGTTTTAGATTTGAGAATCAGTCATTGTCTAATTTTAGTTGCTATCCCCATATTTACTTGGAGGGACTGAGTAGAGCCATGAAAACCTTCAGTCACTAATTCACATAATGAAATATGTCTTATTGTTTACCACAGTTCGTGGATTAGAGATATTTTATTGAATTGTGTTGTTGTTGTTGTTTTTCTTTCTTTCTTTTAGTAATTGATTCTGTTATTACAGAGGGACAATGTCCTACAAGCTTACTTAGTCTCGATATACCTTCATAATAAAATTCCTCTGTTGATGGCTGTCTTCTGGGCTGTTGCGCCGTGTAGTCTGGTAGAAGTTTAATAATGTTTCAGAGGTCCTTGTTGCCTCCATCATCAGGGCATTGAGAGCCTCTGAAACGTTTTTAAACTTCTACCAGACGACACAGTGCTAGATTCCAGAAGACAACCATCTTCAGACACTGCCATAAAAAACATCAAATCTCTTCTTTGGGGTAGATCGCCATTTCTCACCTGCTGTTAAGCTAAGTCCAATCCCAGGTAATTTGGAAAGTTATAACTGCTTCTGCATTGCTGTGGTTTAGGTCAGTGCATTGTAATGTAGTGAATTTTAAAATCTAATGAAATTGTTTTCAAATGCACCATTACTTATGGTACTGGGCTCATTGCATTATTATTGCAGCCTCGTACAAACATCTATGGGAGTGAAATTTGATTTTGAGTAAATTATATTTACTCAAATATGTAACGTAATCATCAATTTTTGTTAATGTTTTCAATGATCTTGCCAGCTACCAGTTTCTAATACAAATAGTAGGTTCATTCAGTTACACAGTTCAGTTGAAGTACATATTAAAAATTGAGTGCACCAATATGCATCTGGTAGTACAGTGACCAGATAATTCACTTATACTCTCAGTTGCTTACCGTTTTAATTTGTTCAAAGAAAGTTAGAGAGAAACCTATCCTTTAACTCACATTTGCAAATAAATTTGCGTGCAGTTAAGACAATGTCCTAGATGTTTCACCTACCTGTCTCTGTTCACTCTAGTCATTTGCACCTTTTTTGTTTCTAAAATGGGACTCTCCTGCTGAGACCCCTTGAGCACTACATTACGCACAGACTGAATCTAGTACAACCCCTGCCCCTCCCCTCGCTTCCCCTACTTTCCCCTCTACTCTCACAATAGCAGACGTATTCCCCTCACTAGAAAGGGGTGTGCTTGCGTCAGTGATATTAATGGTCTCAACCTGTTCTAATTTACGTATTTTATTGAATCTGCTTGTGGCCTGAAAAGAGGTTATGGAGTTTGACATGTAATACTTCACTGTTTACAGTCAGTAAGGAAATTATTATGTGCCATTCCCTTGCCTTCTTGTTAGATTAATGTTGGTAAAATGTTCAAAATAATAAAATGCTTTGAGGAATTGCGTTGTGGTAATGATAATTTTTTTTTCAAGTTTCAGCCAAATCATTCCAATTTTTTTACAATTTTTATTAGAACAGTGAAGAATGTATGGCTGTTTTTACGTATTTCTATCGGAGTTTGGATTGGTCCATTTGTGACAGCCCCCCCCCTCCCCCATGTTTTATGTTGTTCACGCAGCTTTGTGTCCATGTTTTGCACTATTTTATTGTGATGGTTTCATCGTTTGAATGTACTTGTACTTCTGGCCAGTGTTTACACGCTTGCAGTTGACAAGTCTAGTGCACTAATTATGTTTATTATAACTTTTACGCCATAGAATGGGACTCGGCATTGTGTGTAGCAGGTCGAAATTAGATTTTAAATATAATCAGTAACGTAAAAACATTACGGTTGTTTAATTGCTAAGGTTAGGCTTATGCACACATGTTCTGCACAAACAACGTCATTACGTCTTGCGTGCACATAACCTTTAAATCGTCGTGTACAAAATCTTACGTAGCATTCTTCTCTGAAGGTTAATCCCATGTGTACAAGAATGATTGGGGGTCATCAGTGTGGATTTCGACGTAATATATCAATTAGTGGTCAAATATTTTGCATTTGTTAGATTCTGGTGAAAAGGGGAAGTCAGTGGGACTGTGCCTCAGTTATTTACAGACTTCAAGAAAACTGTGATTCAATTACGAGGGAACTGTACACCGTTCTTATTAAATTCGTTATGCTAATGAAAGAGGTTAACCTAATTAAAAAATTTAAATTAAGCTTGCAGTACATTCTGCTTTTTAAATATGACTCTGCTCCTTGGATTTTGTCAGTGTATGACACAAGGGTTTCGGAACTATTTACTTCCGATCAGTTCCGGTATCGATATTTGAACTTGGACAGGAAGTCCGGACGAGAGCCAGTTTCCATTGTCTGCACGTTACTCTTATCTTGTCGATGTTGTTCTAGGCTGTGACGCCATGTTGACTTGCGTGTATCCACCTACAGGTGGTCTACACGCCATTAACTACTTTTTGTTTCATTTAAACTTTGCTGACTAAACAAAATATCCGTAATTCCGTGTGACAGAGTCAGAGTAATGAAATAATATGAAATATCGATTTGTTGTATTGCCTAACAAAGTGTATGACATCACTAACAGTTGTTTGTTTTAAACGGAAGTTTGCAAAACATTAAAAATATTATCTTCCCTAAATTAGACACTCACAAGTTACACATTTTGAGAGGCTGAATTATATGAAAGAAATTAATGTATTTGGCTGTGGCTGGCTTGTATTTCCTTTCATTCGAATCACACAAACTGCTTGGAGACATTGGAACTCCATTCTTTCATTCATTAATGCACGTTTGGTCTGAGTTTGTACAAGCCTTGTTTTAACTTTCTAAAAAGCTTTCTTTAAACCCACAGGCATATAAGCGCTCCGTGCTGTGTGTGTGTCTTTCCTCTGAATTCTTGAAGTAGTTGACTGTTTTTACGAAAGTTGTGGTACAATATTTATTTTTTACCGTTTTCCTCAATTTTTTATATTGAGTTAGCCTGCTGTTTTTGTAAGAAGGTTGGTAGAACTGATTGCAGTGAGTATTAGGAATATCGCTGTAATCAGCTACATAAAAAATGTAGGATTTTGAGGTTTTCACGGCATACTAAATCGTTGTCCAACATTTACCAACGTGCTAAGGACATCTTTCTCGGCTGGGCCGAATTAGTAAGAGAAAATGCAAATGGGCGCAGTTTACTGCCCTCCAAACAACGACTTCATCTCTTCCTCACGCATCTTTTTGAAACCTCTGTGTACGCAATGGCGTTGATTTTTTGTTGTCTTGTTTGGTTTTTTTCTGTGTCTTCAAGTTGAAAAGCCCCGAGCTTTTTAAGGTTTAAAAATTGCTGTCTTCTGGGTTGTTGCGACGTGTATTCTGGTAGAAGTTTACCGACGTTTCAGAGGTCCTTGCTGTCTCCACCATCAGTGCGATCCGGTAAACTTCTACCAGACTGCACCGCGCAACATTTTCTGTTTATCTCCCATTAACATTTATTCAGGAGTTTCACTCGCCCCATCTCTTCTGTTAATGGATGAGGTCAGTGAAGGGCAGAAAATTTCACCTCCCCTTCTTATCCTCTCCCTCTTTTGCTTTAACTTTGCCCTTATTCCTCTCTCACGCGAATTAGACGGCTGTGTTGCCACACGTCACTGTACGCTGTTGCCAAATTGGAGCTTGAAAGGTCACAGCCATGTAATGTATATTGATTTCTTCTGTCAAGTGTCTGTCTTTGTCTCTTTGCTTCTCTGCATTTTTACACAGGCATGCGTGTGTCTGTCTGTCTGTATATATCAGGCCTGCCCAACCTTTTTTTGTTGTTTGGGCAACTTCGACAAAATTTGGTCAGTATGCGGGCAACATGAAGTTCAATACATAAAATATGGAATGTATAAGTGTACGTATAATTATAATATAC